GTTTTGTTTTGTTTTGTTTTGTTTTGTTTTGTTTTGTTTACCTAGCAGCATCAGGATTGCAATCCTCACCACCACCACCAAGTGGGAGCATGCTAGTCTAGCTGATTTATGCTTCCCTGGGGGATACTGGGTGGCCTGGTGGACCCTCCTCTCTCTAGGCTGTATCTTAGCACCCTTGTGATTTCAGTCTTGCCCAGTTTCCTGTGTGCCCAGCAAGCCTGTTCCCGTGGGGCCTGCTATCCACCCGTTGGGGACCTGCTCATTGGGAGGACCCGGTTTCTCCATGCTTCATCCACCTGTGGACTGACCAAGCCTGAGACCTACTGCACCCAGTATGGCGAGGTAGGCCCTACCACCATGGCCTCCAGGGCTGGAAAAGGCAAGATTGGGCTGTGTGTGAGTCTGCCATTTGTTCACAGAATGCCTGGAATGTACTTGGTATAGCCCCAGCTTCATGCACTGTGGAGAATGCAAGAAACATATAAGGCCAGATCACTGCCTTGACAGAATTTTCTCCTTCATTGGGCAAGAGAAAATGTACTCAGAATTAGCGGGATGGCTCTTTTCTTCTGCTTATAAAACTGAAATCTCTCCCTAGTCCTTGGGCATGGGCAGGACAGGTTTTCAAGTCTTGAGAACAGACAATGGGATGAGTACTGATCCTTTAGTACGTAGAGTTTAACATGTCTGTGGTGGATGAAGTCAAGGCTGATGGAGCATAGGTGGGGGGATGTGTGCACTGGGTTGTGTTCTTGCTGTGGGATGAGCTAAGTTGTGCCATGGTTACTTGTTTGCCACCATCTCTTTGGCCAGTGTTGGGATATGAGTGGACAGAGCTAGCGGGACAATGTATGATTATAAGCTGGAGTTTACCTTCTGTGTTTTGCAACTATCATGTATGAAGAGCCAGCTTACCTCTCAGCCTCGTTGGTCCACTCAGGCAAAGTGGGAAACATCCCAACTGCTTTTGGAGAACATAAATCAGCAGGATAGACCAAGAAGTGATGAGGCCATAAAGGAGGTTTGGCAGCTCAGCTGATAAGTCAGAACACAAGCTGAACAAATCCAGAAACTTAAACGCTAGGACCTGTCAATTGACATTGCCTGATTAGGAAACTGAGTTTTTAAAAGAGCTTTTGTGTTTTTTTTTCTTCTACATGCCTGTGGACCTTTGTTGTAGGAACTTTGGCTTTCTTTTCTTTTTTAAACTTTTTTTTTAATGTTTATGTTTTGAGACAGAGACAGAATGCGAGTAGGGGAGGGGCAGACAGAGAGGGAGACACCAAATCTGAAGCAGGCTCTAGGCTCTGAGCTGTCAGCACAGAGCCTGACGCAGGGCTCGAACCCACGAACTGTGAGATCATGACCTGAGCCGAAGTTGGACGCTTAACCGACTGAGCCACCCAGGCGCTCGTCTTTTCTTTTCTCTTTAATAAGGTGGGGATCATTCTTGGTGCCTTATGTTTACCAAGGTTGAAATCACTTAGCATTTTCTTGTTTCCCAGCTGCAGGTCTCATTTGGCCATCTTTCTGCCCCAAAGACAAAGATTTGGACAAAGGAGTGGGTGAGGAAGTGATTTTCCTCGAATCTCTAGTCTTTTCAGAAAAAGAGAGAAAGAGAGAAACAGACAGAAGGGGAGTAAGAGAGATTCATTGCCATGAAAGAGACTTGGGTTCACAGAGAACCTGTGGTGTCCTCTTTCCAGACAGTCCTTGTCCTTGGGATGATGGAGGTGGCATCTGATACCGCCTCTGGGCCTCCCTGGCCTTCTTGTCACCAGTGTTCTCTTGGCTACTTTTAATGACAGATGGTACTGGGTAGTGGCTTTGGAGGCACTGAACAGAGATGGCTGTGGTTTCTGCTGCTCACCCAGTTGGATATAGGAAACCCTGTTTGACAGTGTTGGGTAAGATGGCCAGCATAAGACAAGTACTCCCTGTGGGCCCAGATTACTCCACACACATCAGGGGACCTGGAAATATTGAGCTTTCTAGGCAACAGAATGGTTTTAGCCATCCCCTTCCTACACACCCTCAAAATATCATGCTACTAGGGTATGTCTAAAAATTTCAGGGAGACTTCTGCTGACCTCCTTCCTCAGGCTGGCCTGCCTTCTGGAAGGAGAAGCAAGGAGAAGTCAGAGCCCCTGTCCTGGCATGTCCCCTCAACCCCAGCTCTGTCTGGACAGCCTCTGTCCCCAAAGCCTTGGGCTTTTGGCTTCACCTTGGCCGGCCCTCTGCCTCTCTCAGATGCCCAGGGTGCCAACTCCCTTCCCTGCTCTTAAATAGCCCCCTGAGAGCAAAGTGGTGCTTGCAAAAGAGAAGTCTAGACTTTTGCAACCCTGGGGATGGATAAATATCAGCTATTTTGCCGCTGTGAGAGTTGAGAAGGATTGGCTTTTTTTTTCTCCTTTTCTATAAGGGGGAATAAAGCCATGCAACCTCTTTTCAAGAGTAGAGGATAGGGCATCTTGAATGCAATGTGTAGTCCCAGGTCTGCCACTAACTTGTGGCAAGATATTACCCCTTTCCAAGACTTCCTTCCTCTTCCATGAGTGAGTGTTAGATGAAAGTGTCTGCAGGTTTGCTCCTGGCCCCAACTTTCTCTGGAAATGAGCTGACTGTCGAAAACCAGCTTCTCTCCCCCTACCTTCCACTCCTCCCTTATGTCATTTCTCATCCTCTCTCTTTCCTGTCTCACCTCCTAGAGGCTGTTGGGTGGCAGCCATGAAGACATACACTAAAGACACACACTGGGTGCTGTGGTGGCTGTGTGATGACAATTAGGAATCAGTGTTTTAACTCTGCTGAGTTCCAATTCCAGTTTTTAAGTTTAATTTATTCTATCATCAAATGGTATGTATAGCAGCTATAATTTATTAGGCACATATTATGTGTCCCAGACATCATAGTAAGAGGTTTATATAAACTATCTCAATCTATTTTCATGATACTTCATGTGGTGACACTTGTTATCTCTGTGAGCTATTGGGAGGGCCTGGGTGTGTGCTGGGACCCCAAATTTCTGATGGAAACACACAGGTGTCGAGTTTTCTGAGTACTTAGAGATGGGGGGTGTCCTGGCCAGCCCTGGCTGGAGATGAGACATGATGCAGAACCTCACTGCTAGTGCCCTCCCCTCCCCCTTCTCCCCCTCACCCCTTTCTACCAGCTCCTGCCCTGATATACACACCTGCCTTAAGTCGAAGCTTCTGGTTAGTGCCTCTGTTCTATTTCTGTGACATGGCGAGCCCTGAGCCAATTACAGCCTTACCCAGCACCTGCTGCCTGCCCACTGATGTGGCACGAATGCAAGCTCTCATTGGAGATTTATGACTCTTGGACATTCTGCACTGCTCATTCCCCTGCTGTCCACCCCAGAGGGACTCAGTGGAATGGGAATTGCAGGAGCAGTGGGGACTCCTTCCAGTTCCAAAATTGTCTCTCCCAGCTCCTGGTCTCAGAGTGTAGCTCCTTTTTTGTGTGCCAGTCTTTGCCTGTTGGCATCCTACCTCCTCTCCCTGATTTGGTCTCAGTAGCTAAACCCCATCAGCCTCAAGAGCTTGCTTCTGAGATTTTGGGGTCCATATTGCATCCCTTGCAATGGACATAGGACTTGGTCAGCTTGGCCTTATGGCACCCCACCCCCAACTTTGCCCCTCTGGTCCTGACCTTTAACTATCTAAGCTTGGGCCCAGGCTGTTCTTTACCAGGATGGCCCTGTTTCCTCGCTCTCCTTCCTCTAGCTCCTAGCTAACCTCTGGATAAACTCACTGTTCCCTAAAGCTCCAAGAACATCTGTGTTGCCCCCTTATCCTTGTTTGCTTCTGTGCTCTCCCTGAGCGTCAGTTCCTCATTGGAAAAATGAGAGTAATGACAGCACCCACTCCAATGAGTTGTTGTGAGGACTGTACAAAGGAATGAGCAAAGTGACCATGGCTAGTGTCTGCAAGATGCTAAATGTTCCATCCCCTCTTCCCTTACACACCTGCCTACTGGCACCTGTGTCTGCGTGCAAAGGCTGCCTCATCTGTGAATCATACTCCTGAGCATTTCTTCCCTGATTAGGACACACACTCACATACTTATGGAAATCAACCCATCCTTGGGCCAGCCCACTCTGCTTCCAAGTGGCTGCTGCCAATCTGATTTGCAGTGGACTGTTGGAGACTCTGGAGACAATTATGGTCAATGAAGTCACCCTGACCGGTAGTGAGGACCCTCTGGTTCTGATCTTGGCTGTGACACTTAGATTAGGGATGGAACCTTACTAGCCCATGGGTTCCCTCTAGACCACCACTTCTCCATTTGCGAGATAAAGGAGTTGGGTTAGTTGGCCTTCATGTTTGCTTAGCTTTAGCATCTCTGCCTGCTTCTCAGAGATGGCTGGGCTGTGTGTGACCCTTTAGGTTCCTCATGGTCTCTCTCAGGCAAGTACTGGCAGGGGCTGAGCCATGCCATGTGATCATCTCTGGGCTGGTGCAGGCTCCCCAGAAACCAGTGGGTTTTGCCTGGAAGCTTCCCAGCCCTGATTTCTGCTTCTGACAATGTCTCCTCCAATGTTGTGTCTGCTCCCCTAAATGCTTATTTATCTCCCACTCCCTCCCTTTCTGGGGAAAACTTAATTACTCAGCTGCCTTAATAACAGTTTTACATAATGCACACCTCAGGTTAATTAGCTGTGTAAACGAAATAGCTGCCATTTTGATCTCTTGGAAACAAGCTGAAGAGCAGTAGCCAGTTCACATCCCCTTCTCCCCAACACACACACACATACAGGCACACACTTGCACACATGCATGTAAGTGCACCCACACCCACATGCACAAACCCCAACAAACACTGACTTTCTTTGACAATTGTCTGTTTTCTTAACCTTTGGCACGGCTAATGTGTAGACACAGGATATGTTCATATATATCCTGAGATCCTTATCCTGTGCCCACAGAAGACTTTGAGACTGTCTCTAACCAAAATGTCTGCCCTCCCGTTTCCCAGAAGCTCTCAGACATTCTGAAACTTCCAAAGCTCCTGCCATTGGGGATTCACTCTTTTGAATGAAGCATTGTTGAATTCCTTGTTTAAAATACAAACGCTCTTGGGAAAGGCACCATATCATCAACCATTTATATTTCAACAAGGGTTTGCTTGTCAGAAAATGAGCTGTGGCTTTTGAAAAGGGTTCCAAGAAAGTGAAACCCAGGATGGGTAAGTTTTGAGGGCTAGAAGGAAATGGATAGGGACACTGGGGGATAATGTTGCTAACAGAAGGAAGAAAAACCCAGGTTGGTGGAATGTGAGATTCTGGGTGCCTGGTTGTTATGGGCTGGGAAGCACAGCTT